CATCTTCCTTACAGTCATGGCAATGAAAGAGGCAGGTGCAGTGTAATTCCTTTGACCTATTTCAGATATCAGCTTTAGGTTGGGATGAACAGTGCCATAAACTCACTGTTTGTCTCAACGGATATGAAGGCAGTCCGGAGGACTAGCTCCAGCCATAGACTGACACCATGTCTACAACTGCCACCTGTGTTTGTTCAGATGAATCCCACCCAAAATGTCATGTTTAGTCCTCACTTCTATGTTAATTTAAAAATTAAACTCAGTGAAATGCATTCAGTTTCAAAATTGGTTTGAATGTGTCATTCCCCAGGTCAAAAATATTTTTTCCTGTCTTTGTGGTGTTTATCTGACTTTCTGCTGCACTCTTCCCTGACATCTTGAAAAAACAGCTGACAGAATGTTTCTGCTATCCTGAATTTGCATTTTTTGCTATACTGAATTTGCACATTTCAGCCTCATGCTGCCTGGGGCTTGGGGAGGGGGTCTGGTGGGGGTGAGGATAGCTCATGGCACGGCCCTTTGCACTGAGAGCCAGAAGAGCCTTCCAGCAACTTGCTCAGCAGAGCCAGAAGTGAAACTGCACTTGCATTGCTCCGGGCAGAAACACAAAGAAGGTCTTTCATTCTGCTGGAGATGACTTGCGCAACCTATTCCTGTCTCCCTTGGTCATCTCCTACCACCTGCCATTTGTAAAAGAAATTAGATGAGAGGGAATTGACTTGGGACTAAGGCTGTTATCGCCCAGCCCCCTCGCTGAGGTTATTACAGCAGATGCCCGGAGAGGACTCGTGCTCTTGGGAATCTCCATCCAGGAGGAGACTCCCGGTGGCATCGCCTGGGGTGATTTATGCACAGCCCTGCAGCTCTGCCCTCATGCACTTTATGCACAGCCCTGCAGCTCTGCCCTCACGCACAGGAGATGTTTCTTTCTTGGCATGAGCATCCCCGAGGGTGGCAGCTGTATGCAAGCAGAGAGCAAGGTGGGTGGCTGTACGGGAGGGCTGGCATGAGTCAGGGCATGGCAGGCTGCTCCAGGTGCCTGAGGACGGGAGGCCGGTGGGAGTTCAGCATCTGGCCTGTACGCATTCACAATGTGAGTCCATTAGGAAAAAGGCAATTGCTGGAAAATTTATTTTAAAAGTAGTTTTTCAAAATTTTAAAGTTTCTTATTAAATGAAACTGCAGACCCAAGGCCGCAGAATTCTGATTTTTTAAGTATTTTTTAGGTAAAAATAGGACTTGAGTTTAAAAAAGTAAACAAATAAATACCAAACCTTTTAACCAAAACCAGAAATTGTTTGCTGCAAAAGAGTTGGCTTGTTTCTGTTTGTATAAATCAATCAATTATTAGCTAAATACACATTTTCTGTAAAACAAACTAGACTTTCAACCACGAATAATGTTCTTAATCCCCTGCATACAACGGCAGGTATCTGAATAGAAAGCTATGGGCACACAGCCAAGGGTTCTCGCCGACAGGCAGAATTTGGTGAAATAGGCTGGATTATGTCACACGTGGTGCAGCTCGCTCGAGATCACATAGAGAGGTGAAGGACGCAGGCAGCCCGTTGGCCCAGGATCCCACCCAACCCCGCTGACCCAGGACCCCGACCCATCTGGGGGACAAAGCATTATTTTGGGGAGGCATCCTGCATCCATGGTGCAATTTGTGGAGGAGGAGCGAGCGCCCCAGGAGCGCACACCAGACCAGTTACACACTCAGGGCACGGTCTGGAGCTGGAGCTTTGCCTTTGATGTGAACGGGTGTCCTAAACACCGTGCCAGCAGCCAGGCCAGGCAGCACTCACCTTTGTGCCCCGTCCTGAAATAATAACCTTGTTTTATCTCCATAGGAAAGTATGTTTGAAGCATGCACTATGCTGCAGTGGGCAATTCCCCACTGCCACCGAGGTGTCCGTGATGAGAAGGAAAGGGGTGCAAGGTTTGAGGTGGGGAGAGCTCAGCCTGGAAGATGTGACAAAGCAGACATAAAATGTCACAGGAGAGCACAGGGACCATTCCTTCAATCAAAGGGTTCTGCATCCAGCACTAACTAACTGTGAGGAGTAAAGAGGAATTAAACTGCAGGAAAATAAAGTTGGTGGTGCCTAGGAACCAGTGGCGGTGATCTCAATGCATTTCAGCCTGTAGTACTGATTTTTCATTAAAGTTCCATTTTCCCAAAGCTGAGGGAACTTAAAGGCAGAGGGAATTTAGACAAGGAAACTGCAGAGTAAGTTAGGAAATGTTTTGAACAAGTTCAGCTAATGGCCAAGCCTGCTCCCCTGCATGCTTGCAGAAAAGGACAGCTGTGGTTAGGAAAGTGAATGGAGCACTGAGAGCTGCAGCTAAAGCACCATGGGCAAAGTGAAATGGGGGAGCTGGTCAGAATCTGATGGGAGTTAGAAGCTGTTAAGTAGAGAAATCAGATAAAAGCAGACGAAGGCATCTGCTCCTCTGCAGGGAGAAGAGAGGTCCATGCCTACCTGAGAGAAAGGCAATCAGATAACTTTATTTTTTAATGTAATTTAATTGATTGGTGTCTGAGAAGGATGTTAAACAGCTTCTGCTAAGTACAGAAAACAAATACAGCAGCAGGTCTGGGTAATTTGCACGAGGGAAAAAGCTTCTCTGAGTTGGCCAAGGAGGTCTTTGGCCTGTTCTGCCAAACTTTTATAAGTCCTGGCATGCTGCGGTGACTGCAAATGCTTCCTTGGGCCATTACTTTAGCGAGAAAGTACGATGATGTGATTAGCTGCAGATTGCTTAGCCTGACGTCAATGCCCAGCAGAATGCCCAAGAAGTTAACAGGAGATTTGGTCAATAAAGAATTAAAGGATTGGAATCAAATTAAATTATGGCAATCAACATGGCTTTGCAGGAAACAGGTCTTGTCAAACAAACCTGATTTCATTTTCTGATGAGATAGCAAGTTTAGTTAATCAACGTGCGCATGTGTGTGTGTTTGAGTACAGTACACAGAGTTATCTAAAATAAATGTGCCTCCACCACTCTGCTTTCAGGTGAGGAGCTGACACAATGCAACATCTGTGAAGCATCAGCAAAGTGGATGAAGAACTGGATGATTAAGAGACCTCAAAATGAAGCTGTCAGAACCATCATCACAGAAACCTTGTGTTTCTGCAGGGACGCCACAGTGGCTGCCTCTAGACTAAGAAGTTATTCTGTATGACTTTCATCAGTTGTCCCAAAATCAGCACAAATTGTGTCTCAAATAATGCTGGGGAAAGGCAAGTCATGCAGAGCAGTCTAGAGAGATTGGTAGACTTGATCATTCAAAGGAACTACCTGCAATAAGCTAAATACCAGGGCAAGGAGCGTCGGACAGGTTTTCAGAGTGGAGCACTGATCCTGGAGAACAGAGGCTCTGGAAAGCAGCTGACAGCACACTGAGAGGGTAACACTGGGACCCAAAGGGCTAGTGCAATATTGGATGCATAAGAGGGAAATGGAAGAGAGAGAGAGAGAGAGAGAGAGAGATTGAGTGGTTAAACATTGGAACAGGCTGCCCAGGGAAGTGGTTGAGTCCCCATCCCTGGAAGTGTTTAAAAGACGTGTAGATGAGGC